TTCTTCAGAAAGCTTTCCTGCTCCTCTGATGCTGCTTGGCCTGCTGTGTTCATCCAGCTCTACACCCTGTTATCTAATATTCTTGTAAATCTCCTCTGTATCCCTGCCTTCCGATCATGTTTTTTCTATACTGTGACAAAGACTGTTTGTTTGTTTCATACAGTCCTAACCTAACTTTGTTGATCTTGTGATCTAGACAATAGCCAATAAAGTATCCCTTGTGGTTTCTTGACCACTTTATCTACCTGCCCTGCTATTTTTAGTGATCTGTAGACGTACACTGAAATCATACTTTTTGTTTATGCACAACAAATGATGCACAAGTTTCTTCCCTTGTCTGATCTGTTTTACAACCGTTCCCTGTGTGATGGCTATCCTCGAGTTGTAACCTTCACAGCGCATCACACTAATATACGCAGACTAAGGGTTGCAGTTTTTGTTTTTTTTAATATATGTTCCTGGAAGGGTAGAACAAAAGCAGTCTGCCCTTTGGAACATAATCTACAGGCGATGTCTTTTTGCTGAGGGTAGATGTGAAATTTTTGCGTTAGGAAAGATGATTTCAAACTATCTTATTAATCTCTGTTTGAGATAGACGTTTATATCGATGTTATTTGGGTGCAAGGAAGTCACGAATGAGTAATAATATAGGCTCACAGTATCGGAAGAGGTTGATAATGGGATCGTTTCAGTGCACTGCGGAGTTGTGAGTTTTGCTTCATTTTTAGAATCATTATATCTATTGTGGTTTGTGGTTAAATGTTTTTATTATTACTTTTTTGGAATGTGTACATTTCTGGCTAGGCTAGCATGTTGCCATTCTCTAACTGCCCTTGAACATTGGCTTGCTGAGGCATTTTGAAGAAGATTACATATGCTCTGAAGTCGCCCGGGCCAGACCGGGATGGCAGATTACTTTACCCCAGAGACTTTGGGGAACCAGACAGTTCTTGTGTCAATCTATAACTTTGTCTCTAGACCAGACTTGGTGGAATTTAATTCAATTCCACCAGCTGCTATGGTGAAATTCAAACTCATGTAACCAGAGCATTAGTCTGGGTCCCTGGTCCTGTGACATTACACTACTGTCTTCCCTTCATGCCACTGGGTTGGCATATGGAAACAGGACCATAATGTTAGCCTTTGTTTTGTATTTAACTGTTGCAGTTAAAATATGCTTGCATGGGTGTTGAATAACAAAATCGTTGCTGTTATGATTCTTACACACTCCTCTTTCTCCATCACGTTGGTTTGCTTGATGCCAATTAATTTGCTCTCGCAATTAGACTAACCTTTTTCAAATTGGGTAATGAGAGCCATTGGTGCCTATGTCTTTTCCAGCAGCAATCAACACCTTTGGGGGAGCCTGTAGGATGAAAATTCATATTCGCTATCTTGATTGCAGGCTGCTGTAAGTATGGGCACTCCTATCATGAGAGCAGAATGGATTTATGCTGCTTGGGAAAGGAGAAATGCAATGTGAGTTTTCCAAGTTGCTATAATTTAAAACTGCCTTCTGTTTAATTAACGAAATTGACGTTATGCAAACTTTTTGTATTTTGTGGGTGTGGAATTGTATGAAGATTTGCGTCATAAATGTAGAAATAAAATGGAGACTATGCGTTTTGAGCAGTTGCAGAAATGTTATATTTGATCAAAAATGATTCATTGATCTGTTGTTTTCCGTATATGCTTATGTAAACTGAATTTTTAAGGATTATGTTCCATACTATCGCTTTTACAATGCAGAGCTTTGTATCTTAAATTTATAATCCATGGAACACAATGGTTCAACTTGGTTTTTAAAATTGTTTGGAATAGTAGAAGAAATTGTCTAACGAATGCAATCCATGTCAAATCAATGATGTATAAATTACCTTTTTAGTGCAAAATATGGATGATATGGAAAACTGAGATGACTCTTGTGTGGGGAGTTGAAACATTCTTTTATTTATTTTTAAGTTGTGAAATCAAAGACTTGCCAGAAATTGTAAAAAGATAAAAGCATTCTGCATCTGAATGAATGCAGCGTTGATAACAAAATTAATGAATTGTTAGCACTGAAATTTAATACATATGACCTGGTGGCCAATACAAAGATATGGTTGCAAGATGACCATGACTGTAACTTAACCTAAATTAAATTATGCTTTTCATTTTGGAAGACAGGATGGTTGGAAAAGGTGTTAAGGTAAAATTGTTAGAATGTCAATAGGTATGGTAGTGAGCACCTTGCCTCAGGAACAAATCAGTCAGGGTATAAGTAGGAAATAGTAAAAGTCAGCCACTATGGCAAAAGTTGATAGCCACCCAAACAATGGCAACCCTATACATTAAGTGTAGAGCGAAATGCAATTTTAATATGGATGCACAACAGACAATTTCCCACAACTTAAAAAAAGTTCAAAGAACTGCTGATGCCAGAAATCTGAAACAAAAACAGAAATTGCTGCAAAAATTCAGCATCAGTGGAGAGAAAGCAGAATTAACATTTCAAGTCCATTGACCCTTCTTCAGAGGGAGCTTCATAGACAGTTTCCCACATTTTGCTCCATTTACTGTTTTTTTTTGTTTTTTTTTTTTTTTTTTTTTTTTTTTTAACCCACTCACAACCAGTCTGAGGTCTCTTTGCGAGCTTCTACCTCCTCTGGACATCTCACCCTTCTTGGGGTCATTGGCAAATTCAGTTATAATACATTTAGTGTTTTCATTTAAGTGGATTTGGTAGATTTAAGTACCATTGATGGAGAAGATCAAATAGACTGAGCATGGGATCAGCTAAGGCAATTTTAAACTAGGCTCTGTGCTCAGCATGCAGTTGTTAGCTTGTTGTGGGTGCAAAAGGTGCAATGTAATATTCTCAATGCTGTTTACTGAAGGTTGTGTACTCAAATTATTTAATGTGCATGTTAAGCCCTCATTGCAAATGGAAATAATAGATGTTAAAGTCAACAATCATGGACATTTTAAGATCTTGATTATTTTTGAGAAGTAGGTGAACATGGATATGGTAAAAGAAAAATGCTTTGGAAAGGACATTATCAACCAGGGCTGATTTTTAAATGCTGTAGTTTTTGTTTAAAGTTAGTAGGTACCCTGACAATTATAATTCTTGGTAAGGTTTCTAAGCCCTGTTAACATGATGATATTCGAGGGGATTTCCAACAATGTCATCTGTCCCTTTGGTAATTTTATTATGTAGGCAAGCAAACCTATATATCCTGATGCTTGTTGCTACATTGGATACTCTTGAGAAAACAAAAGCACTCTTGTTACTCTTATTGGATAGAGGGCACTATCCATAGTATTTCAAAGTGAATCTAGTATCAAATCTATCCTGTAATATATTGGTTTTCCCAAAAAAAAAACCCAGCAATTTTGATTACATTACTGTCATGAGTCAGAAGTTGTGTGAAAGTTATTTACTTGTGATTAATAGTTGCTTTGTTCCGTAGTGATTTTCGTGTTACCGATGAAGTGTTTCGAAATGAGTTCAAAGTGCCCCCATTTCAAGACTGTGTGCTATCTTTCCTGGGATTCCCAGATGAAGAACTCCGAAATATGGAAGAAATGACTGAAATGCAAGGTCTGTGGAGAATGAGATCAATCACTTTAGAGTTTTCTTCTCGGTAATTTGTTATCATTTTGAATGCAGTCATTTTTGACAGAATCTAGTGGAGCTCAAATGTAATCTTAAATTCCCTTTTCTTTCTGTAACAAATTTCTTCTGAGCACCATCTTTGTCACTGCTAATGTATGTCAGCAGTTCTTGAAGGTTACTTTAGATTCACTCTTAAATGCTGACTTTCTTAAAATATGATTCTAAAGATTTGGTAGCATTGGGGTGGCACAGTGGCTCAGTGGTTAGCACTGCTGCCTCAAAGTGCCAGGAACCCAGGTTTGATTCCACCCTCTGGTGACTGTCTTTGTGAAGTTTGCTCTTCTCCCTGTGTCTGTGTGGATTTCCTCCAGGTGCTGTGGTTTCCTCCCACAGTCCAAAGCTGTGCAGGTTAGGTAGATTGGCTGTGCTAAGTTGCCCATAGTGTCCAGGGATGCGCAGGCTACGTGGATTAGCCATAGGAAATGCAGGCTTATAGGGATAGGGTAGGGTGTCTAGGTGGGATGCTCTTTGGAGGGTTGTGGACTCGATGTGCTGAATGGCCTGCTTTCACACTGGAGAGATTCTGTGATAAACAACGGTTTGCGAATCCCTGCTTTGTAACTGTTCATAATGGAGCAGATATTTGAATGCTGTTTAAAACATTGTTCCAGGCCTTGGACTATTTGCACAATGTTATGGAAGATCTAATCCTGCAAGCAAATTTGGCAACATACTTATTTTTTTTTCAGGAGGAAGATACTTGCCTCTTGGTGGTGAAGCATGCACTCACCTTGTGGTGGAGAATACAATAAAACAGCTGCCATTTGAACCCACCAAAAAACTGTTTGTTGTAAAACAGGAGGTAAGGAGTATCTCTTTAGCATATTTCTGCCTTAAGTTAATGGAATAGAAAATTCCAAAAGCAAAAACACAGTAGCTTTGGGTTCACGTGTCAAATAAACCAGCACTATGTGCTCCCACAGCCCTTTTGATTTTTTTCTTTTTTGTGCCTTTAAACACAGTTGCCATGTGCCAGGTTAAGAGTGAAGACTGAAACTGTCGTTGCTGCTGTCATAGAGCTGAATTCATTTAAAGAAGCTTGAGATGCTTGAGTTTGCTTTCACATTCTTTTCATGTATTTCCCAGTGATAGCTAAAATCCAACTCTCAATGGCTTTTCAGTAATGTTGCTTTAATTTACGTAGACTTGGACATTTTTAATTGATTAATCATAACCTCCTAGCAAAGCAGCATCCGGGCAATGGTGATTGTAACGTGAAAGTGTTGTGTTTGAATTTGAAGGTGTGAAGCATTGATCCAAGACCAGTACTTTATGATCATCTTTATTTACATTTAATATGAAGGCAGTGCTAACTAAAGTGCCCTGAGAAACTAGGTTAAGAGGTAGGAGAGTAGAGTTGCATTGACAGACTTTTTTTAAGTGGATGATGCAGGAAAGGCCAGTAAGATGCTGTCATAGGGAAACGTGGGAATCTACTATCAAGGAGGTTATAGAATGGCACTTAAAATCTCAATACAATCTGGCAGAACCAACTTGGTTTCTGAAAGGGAAATGATGTTTGTTTAACTTTTTTTTAAGCAAGTAACAAACAAGCTTGGTAGCGGGGAACATATGGTTGAGGTGTAAGTAAATTGTAATAAGCTTTTGGTAAGATGCCACATCAAGATTTACTGTCCAAAATAAGAGCTCAGTTTGTAAGGGTGACATATTAGCATATGAATGACTTAGTGAATGATTTATTTATTGTCACATATATCTTGAAGTGTTTTGTTGCCAAAATCCTGTCCCATTTTGAGTTAGCGTAGGATGATGTTGGCTAATGGGTAGCAAAGAGTAGAGATAAAAGGATCATTTTCAGGTTGACAGGTTGTAACTAGTGAAGTGCCAGAAGGGTAAGCGTTGGGCCTCGACTGATTATGATCTATATCAATGACTTGGATGAAAAGTCTGAACGTTTGGTACCTCTGTTTGCTGATGACAATGAGATAGTTTAAGTAACTGTCAAGAGAGATAGAGAATCTGTAAATGGGTATCATGAGTGGCATGGGGTACAATGTGGAAATTGTTAACTTTTCCGCTTTGGCAGGAGGAATAGAAAAGCTGTCTTCTATTGATTGGAGAGTGCACCTCATAGGGTACACTGGAAATCAAACCCCACTATTCCTGGGATTGTGACACCAGTTGAAGATTTTAAGAAGTCTGCAGAACTCTGTAACTTGCTTGTCTTTTAGATCCAGTTAACAGAAAGCATGGACCAGGTTTATATACTTAACAAGAAGGATTGTTTTTTGCAAGTAGATAAACTCTAGCCACAGGTAAACAATTATGAACAATCAGCTTAACTCTACAAGCTAAAACTTTAACTCACTTATAAAATTCCTCCTTTACAGCCGCAGGTGCAGGTAAATGGAATGCAAGGGAAAAGGAATATATAATTAGATAAGTTGTACTGCAGCTGTACAGAGACTTTTTGAGTGTACATCTGGAATAATGTGCACAGTTTTGGCTTTTTTTTAGAAAAAAGAAATAAAATGCCAGAAATTGTTCAAAGAACATTCACCCATCTCATTCATTGGATGAAGGATGTTGAACAGTTTGGACCTGTATCCACTGGAGTTTAGAACATGTGATGTGATCATATTGAAATATAAGATTCTGAGGGGACTTCTGTAAGATAGATATAGGAGGATGTTTCCTCTTGGGAGAGACACTAGAACAAGGTGACACTTCTAACAGAAGTTTTTCCTTTTAAGATGGTGATGAGTGATAATCTTTTCTGAGAGCCATTAGTTTATGAATTCTCCTGCCCAAAAAGCAATGGAGGTTAGCTCATTGAATTGATTCAAGACACAGTTGGATAAAGTTTTGAGCAAGGTTGTCAATGGTAAGAGAGACTGTTGTGGTTGGTTGGCTCACCGAGCTGGTTTGTTGTTGTTCCGCAGATGTTTCGTTACCCTTCTTGGTAACATCATCAGTGCTGCCTCCGATGAAGCACCGTTGTGTTTTCTCGCCTGGTTTTTAAACTCCGGAGTTTAAAAACCAGG